CATAGACATACTTGTAAATATTGATACTAATGATATTTACAGAGGCTTTCATGTCAGCCCTGGAGAAAGATGCAGAAGAAAGAGGACGGAGGAGACAAAAGAACATGAAAGAAGCAAATGAAATTAAGGAAAAGGGCAATGTTGAGTTTAGGCAGGGAAACTATGAAAAGGCAGCACAGTTTTATACTCAGGTGGGAGGATGCCCTGTTTATTATTTGTTTCTTTTTTACTCCATATTGTAATTTTTTTTACTGTAACAATACTAATTGCCATGGATGATTATGTTTCACATTGCTGTTTAAATCTGACTAATGCAGGCTTCTTCACAGAAAAATAAAAATATTATTCCATAGCAATTTGACTTCTTTCAGGTCAGCGATGATTGACAAGGCCATTGTTTATTTTCTCTTATACTTATTTTAAAAGGTTTTATCAGATATTTTATTGAAATGTGTTTTACTTGTTCTAGGCAATAGAAAAAGTCAGGGACAACACAGCGTTATACACCAACAGAGCTCAGGCCTACAACAAACTGGGGAGATATGAAGAGGCCTTGAAAGACTGTGACTGGGCTATTAGGGTAAGGAGACAGGCAGAAGGATTTCATAGTTGACAGACATGCTGAAACTGTCAGGCCTCTTAGTCATGGCTGATGAAATTTTAAGTGACTGGTAGAAAATTGTGTTCAATTGGTCGAAGAGAATGGCAAAAATTTAGAGACAACTGAAAGCTTTTTAAATTTACTGTCCATCTGGCAAAAGCTCTTCAGTCTGAAATTTAATAACTGCCTGTCTGATTGTCTGTCTTTTTTTTAAATAGAGTTTTCAGCACATCTGAGTTGAATATTATGTATTGAAAACCATGCTTATAATATGCCAATTTGTTATGGTGTGTTGAAATCTGGATATTATAACTTTGCTTTATTTAAAGTTTTTTCATGGGCTTTGATTACAGAGGTTTAAAATGATGATTTCATGGACGGGTAGTTTATCTGGAGAACTTTAATGGACTGGTAGTTTATGTTTTCAGGTATTTGAAAATTGCCTCAAAGCTTACATACACCAAGGAAAAGCTTACTTGGGACTAAAGAATTATGATGCTGCTGTGGAAAGTTATGAGAAAGCCAGAAAAATAGACCCAACAAAGGAGAAAGTCATAAATGGTGAGTTAGGAACTTTTTTTATTATTATTATGGGTTTTGTTTTTTTGAATGGTTGAAGGCATTGCACTTGAGGCCCAATGATGACGATAAATCAAATTAAACAATGATAAATGTGAATATTTGTCTTTGCTTGAGTGTTGTTTATTATTTTCAGCCTTGTCACAAATTTTATTTCTTTCTCATTAGATTACATCGCAGAAGATAGCATTGTTTGTATTGAGTCATGCACATCCCCTCAGTTTGTCTGTACTGTCATCTTTTCTCAGACTACATAGCAGAAGTGGAGCTAGCGCGGAGGTCAGAAGAGGAGGAGGCGACGGCCCTATCCGTGTTTGAGTCCGGAGATGAAGAAACCAAGACAATCCACGAGGTGATACAGAAACTACAGAGGACAGACCAGCCAACGGTGTTCTACTGTGGAGGGATGAGGGTGGCTGTTAACTTCCTGGTGAACAGTAAGGGCACTTTTGTCTTTCTTTTCAACTAATTAATATTTTGCTTAGAGATTTGCATAGGCAAGCATGGATGAAACTTTTCAGGATTATGCTTGATTTCAGGCTTTTCAGTCTTCATTTTGATCAATTTTTTTATATAGTCTAAATGCAATGAAAAATACTTTATTGGATGTTTTGTTTGTTGCTGATGGCATTTAATTATTTCAACTTCAGCCAATGAGAGAACAGTTTTTAGACTTAATGGGGGACTGGATCTTCTCAAAAATCACCATGTGCTCTCCAGGTATGTGTGTGTGTCATTTAGAAGTCTATTTTTATGTACATAGGCCCATTAATTATATTATTACTAGTGATTTGTCTTGATGAAGCTAGTTTAAGTTAATAAGAATAAGTTTAACATTTGGCTAACACTTTCTAGGGTAGAGTTAGCTAGCTGAAGTTAATCGGGATAAGTTTAACATTTGGCTAACTCATTCTAGGGTGGAGTTAGTTCATGGCTGTCTATCTGTTTTAGGTGTATTTCTGCTGCTGCTGATGTATTGAAGCCAGATGAGGTGGAATTGTGCTGTGCTGCTGCTGATATGTACACTGCTGCTTGTATTGACAACGGTAATGTTAATACATTTTTACCCCTAAAAGGGACAGATTTTGCAGCTTGCCTGTTTTGATGTTATGGAATACACCCACAAGGGTGATTGCAGTGATATTTAAAGTATATCTGCAGAAAAGAAGTACACGTATTAATAAATAATATGAAAATATCAATATAAACACAGAAAACTGTGTAAAAATATCTGTGCTTCTATCTCTTTTTCTCTCTCCTTACCAAACGGCTCTTAGTAAATACCACTCTGATATGGATCTGCCTTACAACAGCCAGAAACTCGTGTTTCCCTTGATTTATGATGCAAACATATATTTATTTTGTCCTCCAGAGGAAAACCAGAAACAGGTGATGGAAGTACCAGATTTTCCTCTGCATGTTCTTGGTTTTCTCTCGGCCAAAAAGAAAGGGCTGGCATCCCTGAAGGCCTCCTTTATGACATTTCTGTTCACTCTGTCACAGTATGGTGTGGGGAGACAGAAGATACTGGTCACCATGGAGATGTCCAGGTAAAGTTTTTTTCTTCAGTAATTGTTCTTTGTACTTGTTAGACAAGCTTTGCC